AATGTGGCTTAGAGAAAGTGTTCCCATCTCACGGTTCCTGAGGAGCAGTGCTGGAGCGCCACACCAGCCCTGTCTCCTGTGTCCGTTGGGACAGCCTGTCTGCTCACACTCATTCAGCAAATGTCCAGCTCAGGCCTAGGGGGGAACAGCTCCACTCCCAGCTTGGGGAGCTCCCAGGGTACAGCACTACTTCCCTCCTGCTCTCAGCCCCAAGGAAGCTGCAGGTATCTTGGGGCCTTGTGATGGGGCGGGGGAGAACAGCAGGGGCACAGCTTCAGCAGGGGAAGGGAGTTGTCCATGGGGGAGCCCTGTTCTGCCACCACCTTAGCTGGTCGCTCCTCTGGAGCCCAGGCTGTCTTCAGCGTTTTGCTCCCTGCAAGTGATGGCAACCGTTTGTGGTCTCTGTTCATTTATTTTTACTTTTTTCTTTACTGCTGGAAATTGGACCTAGGGCCTCTACCCACTGAGCCACATCCCCACCCTTTGTTCGTTTTTAATTACAAGTGCACCTGCTTGTAGCTGTGAAGGGTAGCACACACCTGTAATGCCAGCTCTCGGGAGGCTGAGGCAGGAGGACTGCCAGCCTAGGCCATACAGTGAGACCCTGTCTCAAAAAAAAAAAAACAAGTGTAGAATGTTCAAGTCACCATTTATAGGAGTCACTTCTCCCTTTTTTATGCTCCTGTCAATATTCCCCCCAAACCTTATGGGCCAGGTACCAGTTTTATCATCTTTTCAGATAGGTAAACTGAGTCACAGAGATTCAGTGTTTTATTGTAGATCATAGGGTATAAAGTGGAAGAGGCAGGATTCCATGTGAAGGAGGCTGGCCATGGTCAGGCACAGCCAGCTGTCACATCAGGCTGCTCTGTGGTTTAGCGAAAAATGTCTCCCTAGAATGAATTCTTAAGCAAAAGGCAGGAATTCTGCTTTTAAAAATGTTTCCTATCCCAAGGCAGTTGTGGTGGCACACACCTGGGTAATCCTAGCACCTAAAAGGCTGAGGCAGGAGGACCACCAGGGGTCTGAGGCCAGCTGGGGCTACATATGGAACTCAAGGCCAGCCTGAGTTGCATAGGAGACCCTGCCTCCAGGGGGCAAAACACAATCCCTCTAAATGAAACAAGTCAAACACACAAGCATAGTTTCTCTTATTAGAGAAGCCCAGGGGTGGGAGATATAGCTCAGCAGCATAGGCACCTGCCTGGCAAGCACAAGGTCCTGAGTTTGATCCCTGGTACTGCCGAGAGAGAGAGAGAGAGAGAGAGAGAGAGAGAGAGAGAGAGAGAGAGAGAGAGAGACCCACCCAAAGTATACATAGCTTAAGGAGCAAAATGAAAGATGGAAAATAGGAAACAGGAAGACAGATTTTTTTGTGAATGTGGAGGGTGCCAAGAGAGGGAGGACAAAGGGTAGAAAGGAGACATGCAAAGAATGAAGCTGTCATTTTTGTACCTGTGGGAAGTCCACAATGAATGTAATCATTATGTACTGCAGACATGGACTAATAAAATTTTTTAAAAAAGTTTTCCCTCTCCCAGCGGATAGGTAGATGAACACACGAGGAGGGCGGGGGCTCTATTGCCCACAGCACCCTAGGCTTTGCATCAGCATACGCTGTTGGCCGCTATCTGAACTCACATGCCTGGGGTGAGCCCCACCGAGGCTCGTCATGGGGTCCACTCGGGTCGCATGGTCCGGCCTGGGCAGCAATTGGCTACAGAAGCCCTAACGTCGGCGCTGTCTCCTCACAGGCCCTGGCCGGCAGCATGCGACTTCCACGCCTCTCCAGCTCCACAGCGGTGACCGTGCTCCTGCTGGCCCAGTCCTGCCTCCTGCTCTTCCTGATCTCAAGGCCGGGCCAGTTGTCCCGAGCAGGCAACGAGCGCGTGCACGTGCTGGTGCTGTCCTCGTGGCGCTCCGGCTCGTCGTTTGTGGGCCAGCTCTTCAGCCAGCACCCAGACGTCTTCTACCTGATGGAGCCCGCGTGGCACGTGTGGACCGCCCTGTCGCGAGGTAGTGCGCCCGCGCTGCACATGGCCGTGCGTGACCTGGTGCGCTCGGTGTTCCTGTGCGACATGGACGTTTTCGACGCCTACCTACCCTGGCGCCGCAACCTGTCCGACCTCTTCCAGTGGGCCGTGAGCCGCGCGCTGTGCTCGCCGCCAGCCTGCAGCGCCTTCAGCCGCGGCGCCATCAGCAGCGAGGCGGTGTGCAAGCCGCTGTGCGCGCGGCGGCCCTTTGGCCTGGCGCAGGAGGCCTGCCGCTCCTACAGCCACGTGGTGCTCAAGGAGGTGCGCTTCTTCAACCTGCAGGTGCTCTACCCGCTGCTCACCGATCCGCTGCTCAACCTGCGCGTCGTGCACCTGGTGCGGGACCCACGCGCCGTGCTGCGCTCGCGGGAGCAGACTGCCAAGGCGCTGGCACGAGACAACGGCATCGTGCTGGGCACCAACGGCACGTGGGTGGAGGCCGATCCCCGCCTGCGCGTGGTGAGCGAGGTGTGCCGCAGCCACGTGCGCATCGCCGAGGCCGCGCTCAGCAAGCCGCCGCCCTTCCTGCGTGGCCGCTACTTGTTGGTGCGCTTCGAGGACCTGGCTCGGAACCCGCTGGCCGAGATCCGCAGGCTCTACTCCTTCACCGGCCTCAGCCTCACGCCGCAGCTGGAGGCCTGGATCCTCAACATCACGCACGGAGTGGGGCCCGGCAAGCGGGGTGAGGCCTTCAAGACCACCTCCAGGGACGCGCTCAACGTGTCGCAGGCCTGGCGCCTGGCGCTGCCCTTCTCCAAGATCCGCCGGGTGCAGGCGCTGTGCGCGGGCGCCCTGCGGCTGCTGCGCTACAGGCCAGTGTTTTCCGAGGAGGAGCAGCGGGACCTCACGCTGGACCTAGTGCTGCCTCGAGGCCCAAGCAGCTTTGAATGGGTGTCGTCCACCAGCGCGCAGCCCAGACCGTAACAAGGACCCGGTGCTGGCCGCGAGGGGACTATGAGCAGAGTGGGGGGTTCAGGGTGCGTGAGGAAGCCAGCCAGCAGGGGGCCGAAGTGTGAGGCTCCTGCCTTGGGCCAAGAGAGGGCTGAGCCCCAAATTCCGTTTCTTTCCCCCCAGATTCTCGGCTTCCCTTTGCGTCTTGTTTGGGAGCTGGATTAGAATCAGGCACGTTCTTCGTGCAAACCCATGCTCTTGCTCCCACTTCCTCTGGGCACAGAGGCGACTTGGCTCCTACCAAGTATTTTCTTTCTCCTTGACTCTGGCGTTCTGGGGGATGCACAGCAAGGACTGAGACGGTGTTCCAGCCCCAGACAGGAGCGGAGAACCCTGCCGTGCACCTGCTCCTGACGCCGATATGTGGCCTTCTCCCTTTGAATCCTGGACTTGGGTCCGCCCACGCTCCATGGAAGCGATGTGTGGTTATATTCACCTGCAGCCTCAGTGAGAAATCCTGAGAGATGCCCATGGCTGTGGCCTCCCCTTTAGCCTCTACCCAACCTCCTAGCGGCCCAAATGTCCCCATCACTCTGCCAAGCTGTGAGGAACCTTGTCACGAATCTCGCCAAATGTTGATTTGTCTTGGCAAGGAAAATCTTTCTTACAGAAATAAATACAATGATTGACCCATGGGATAGAGATCAGTTTTCAGCCTGCCAAGTTTACCCAGCAAAGCTCCGAAGTGCAGGGACTTAGGCAAGGTCCACAGTGAGAAGGAAGATGAAGGGAGAGGAGATTTTTGCCCTGGGAGTGTGTGTGAGGGGAGGGATGATTCAGCAGACTCGTCCAAAGCTGAAGGCTGACTTGTCCCATGTGGGTCGCTTTAGGGAAGAGAGGTGGTATCGCAGCTAGAGACACAGGTGGGGGATACAGGAGGCGGTCTGTATTGGGTCCAGAGCAGCCCTGATAAACCTAGGAGGTGGGGGAAGGGCGGGCTAGGCAGCAAGCCCAGGTCAGGGGTGGAATAGGGTACAAGGTTGGTTGGCAGTGAGAGTGCCTAGAGGGCAGGTTGGGAAGGTCTTGGGAAAGATAAAACTGATCAGCCTGGCAGGGAGGTGGAGGACAAAAGCCTCTACAGGACAGCAGACTAAGATTCCTGCTGGAAGCCTCAGCCTTATTGAGGAACTGGGCATGCAGAGGGAGCTGATCCCTGAGCTCAGGAGGTAAGAGCCCATTGGTGCTCAATACAAAAATATCCACAGAATGCCAGATGTGGAGGTACATGCCTGTAATCCCAGCACTCGGGAGACTGAGGCAGGAGGAGCGACATGAATTTGAGGCCAACCTGGGCTACATAAGCAAGTTCAAGGCCAGCCTACCCTGAATATTGAGATGCTGTCCCCACCCCAAAAACAATAATTATAAAACCATTCATAGAACCTCCAGGAAATACAAGAAAGCAGATATGAGTCCATAGAACACTCTAAGTCACACTGGGCCACACAGCTGTCTGGGGACTGTTAAGAGTTGCTGCCAGTCACTGTCACCATCAGTTACCAGGAGGGTTTTGGATGATCACTAACTTCAGACAGTCAGCATTGGTGTGGCCTCAGATCACAGATTGGTGGGCAGTGTCCAATCTGGCACTCTCTGCTGCACCCCTTGGAGAGAGCGGAGATCACCTGACATTGAAGCCAGCACTCAGGACACCGCATTTGAGGATCCTTCAAGCTTGAGAAGCACCAGGCCACATAAAACCTGAATCTGTCCCTACTGACAAGCACAGGGTAGGAATTTAAAGCCCTGGGCTTGCTAATGGGATTCTGCAGTTTAGAAAGTGACTTAATCCATCCGAGCTGCTATGACGAAATGCCTTAGCCTAGGCTATTTAGAAACAATAGAAACTGGAGGCCAGGAAGATAGCCCAGTTGAATAAGTGCTTGCCTGGCAAGTGCAAGGGCCTGAGTTCAATCCCTGGTTCTGCAAAAAAAGAAAAGAAAGTAAGTAAGAATAGAAATTGATTGCTCTTAGTTCCAGAAGTCCAACGTGCTTGCAGAGTTGGCTAGTGGCCCCCTTGCTCAGATGGCACCTTCTAGCTCTGTCCTCACCAAGTGGAAGAGGCGCAGCAGCTTTCTAGGGTCTCTTGTAAGGGTACCAACTACGTTGATGAAGTCTCCACTTTTCTAATACCTGTACTAAGGAGTTTTTATTTTGAGACAGGATCACAGATGCTGAGTTTCCCAGTCTGGGTTGAATTTATCACCCTCCCACCCCAGCCTCCCAGAGAGCTGGGATTATAGGTATGCACCACCACTATGTGCTCAGGTTCCATTTCTTTTCTTTTCTTTTTTAAAAATGTATTTGGTACAGGGTCTCACTATGCCGCTCAGACTCATAGTGATCCTCCTGTTTTCAGCCTCCCCGTTGCTGGGATTACAGGCGTGCACCACCACGCCCAGACTTGTTCTTGGCTCAGCTTGCCCTGTGCCGAGGGGTGGGATTGCATATAGAACCTTGGTCCCTGCACTTGCCAAAGCAGGCACTTAGTCTGCTCAGTGATCTTGCTGGCCCTCAGGTTCCATTTCTTGATCCATCTAATTATCTCCTAAACTCTTCTTCTTCTTCTTTTTTTTTTTTTTTTTTTTTTTTTTGGCAGAACCAGGGATTGAATTTAGGCCCTTGTACTTGCCAGGGAAGCACTTACTCTACTGAGCCATCTCTCTGGCCCATCTCCTAAACTCTTGTGGCCTAATACCATACGTTGGGGGTTAGGATTTCAATATATGGCCTGAGGGGAGATACATTCACACCAAGCCAGAAGGTAAAGCACATGCTGGCCGCGTCCCCAGGGCACGCTGAGACATTGAGACTGGGTGTGGTGGGGAGCATCTGTAATCCCAGTGCTTGGGAGGCTGCAAAGCAGGAAGGATCACTGCAAGCTCGATCTGTGTAGTGAGACCCTGCAGACCCTGTACTAAATACAGTTCTAAAAAATGGACTATATGGAAGGCCAGTTGATTTGTCCTGCACAGTGACATGGGTCACTAGAGACCAGGGAGCCCTTTGAGTACAAACATCTCAAGTACCAGAATTTTTGTTTGTGTTTTGAGACTGGGTCTCGCTATGTATTCTAGCCCAGGCTGTCCTAAATGTGTGGTGATCCTTCTGCCTCAGCCTCCCAAGTGCGGGGATCTCAGTTATGCACCACCACGCCTGGCTCGAGTACCAGAACATGGTTTCTTTCTGTTTTTATTTTTCTTTTTTCTTTTTTCTTTTTTCTTTTTTTAGACAGGGTCTTGCTGTATAGTTCAGGCTACATAGCCCAGGTTGGCAATCTCCTGCCTCAGCCTCCCAAGTGCTGGGATTCCAAATATGCACCCCCATGCCTGCCTAGAATGTGGAAAGAAGAGGTGGTCAGTTGGCAGGGGCATTTGAGCCTCTGACGCTGTCCCCGTCCTGCCTCCCTCTGTGCTACAAGTAGTTCACTGTTGGGGGAGAGGTCAGCCTCCGAGCAACGTAACTGAGCTGCATTACTGTGGTGTGTCCAGTCCAAGAGGTTGAGCCAAGCTGGGTGGGGTGGCACACACCTGTAATCCCAGCACTCTGGGAGGCTGAGGCAGGAAAATCCTCAAACTCCACTTGGGCAATATAGCAACTTTTTTTGTTTGTTTTTGATTTTTTTTTTGGCGGAACCAGGGATTGAACTCAGGCCCTTGCACTTGCCAGAGAAAATCTTAATCCACTGAGCCATCT